TCGCTTCGAGTATGTGAAAGAATAAAGAATCTCTCCCCAGGGTTTCAACTCAAATCCCCCATATCTCAGTGTTTTGCAAGATTTTGCTCTGCTAATAAGCTAGTAAACAATTATTCAAGCGTGAGCGCGGGAACAAAAATGTTTTTTTTTTCAACTTACAGCACCTTTTATGATAGCACATAAATAGTCTAGGGAATTACTTGAAATTAGCGTTGATGGAACTGTTATATCGGTACCCATAATCAAATACAATATTTCTCAACGCTAATCTACCGAAAGGTAAAGAAAATTATTTTTATAGAAAAATTCTCGCCTTTCTTCTCATTGTTTCCTTAACAATCCTGACAAATTTTTATGAATTCCGAGCTTGATTTTCTAACCGAGTTTCGAATAGAATCAAAATTAACGAATAAATTTTCACATTGTAATGGATTGTACGAGAATACTTTTTTTACAAGATGTCAAGTGGCAACGAGATGCAATTTTTTATTTCATGAGTTTGTGTAAAATTATTTTTGGATAAAATGCGAAAGACATATTTCTTTCGAAAAACGTAAAACTTGAAGCTGCGTTGTTATTTGAGCCGACTCTTCTTTTTCTCAGATAAAAGGATCAACATAACAATGAGTATATTTTTATCCCTTCTTTTCCATATTTTATGAATTAGCGCTAGCTTCTTGTATACTAATCATATTTTTGATTATTTTTTTCAAACTTTCTATAGGATGAATTCTTGTCTTAGCATTTTTCGAATATTTCGCGCTTTTTCTTCATAAAATCATTACCAAAAGATTAAGTTTTTTTTGAGTGAACATGTCCTGGAGATTTTCGTGTATAAGAATAACTTTTCACCCTGCATCTGTGACAATTCTTTTTTTCTCCCTTCAAAGCCCCACAGGCATCAATAAGCATTGGTAGCGAGCTCAGATGTGACCATCAATCATAAAACATCTGTGACATGTTTCGAGAAAGAATGTAAAACATGCTTATCGATCAAAAGCCGCATGGATAAGCACCTGTTATGCTCAATTTTTTCGATCCGCGTCGTACGAAGGAAACATTGACTGTTTTCTGGATCTATTAACATTGATAAGCATTGATCGCTTTTTGCAAGGCTCTGTGAGGGAGGGGGTATAGGGGATGATTCTTTTTCATGGGGAATCGGATTTCCTAAATCCCATATCCTGTTCCAAAAGTGCACACACATCCCCAATTGTCCTCTCCGAGTCTTTAGAAGGGTCAGGAAAAAATTCGGCAAACAAATTGGTTTTCTGATTGCTTCGCCCCTCTTCAGGGCATGTGAGAGGCCCGAGGGCTCTGCTTCTGGCAGATATTGGTTCTATTTCGAATCCTTCGGCCTTGTTCCTGTCATTTTCAAGCTGTTTTCAGCTTTTTCTCTGCACTGCCCGGACACCGACAACTGTCATTAGTCGATAGTGCACACACACCACGTACACCCGAGACTCTAGTATGTTGTGCTTAATGAACTTTTGCACTCTAATCGTTCGAAAAAAGTTTTTTTCGCTAAAACTTTAATATTTTTTGAAACGAAAGATAATCACAAATGCATTTCATTTGATATATGTTCCCTCAGCCGCGCTAAATAAATGCAGTCAAAATGCTTCACTACCTATCATTTATTTATTTCCACTCATGGCCGCTATTCTTGTATGAATTTTTCACGTAGAAGTTGTCATTTTTCGATCGGAAGTTTTTCTAAAATATTGAACTTCAAATGAGAGTGGCTTGGACCTTTGGAAAACGACTTTTTTCACTCAAAAACGATTTTTCTGGAAAATTATGCATAAGAAGTAAGATGTGTCTATTGTCTACTCTTTCAAAAATTGTTTTTTTTGCTATTACTTTGATATTTGGGAGCGGAAATAATCACTTTTTCGACGCTTTCTTGGGGCAATTTTTTTGGAATATCAAATTTTGGTGATTTTATGCGGCTTGGGCCGTTAAGTAACGATTTTTTTAAAGAAGAATAGGAAATGTCTTTTTAGCTTTTCGACCTTTCTTGAAAATTGTTTTGAAATTTAAGTGAATTTATGCCGTTAAATAACGACTTTCTTTTATCACTCAAAAACGAATTTTCTAAAAAATTATTCGAAAGAAGTAAAATATGTCTTTTTAGCTTTCCAACGCCTTTTTTATTTTGTTTTTTTTTTCAGAACAGCTCTCCTTAGTCATACGATTATTCCTATTCAAAACATTTCATGTGAAAAACTCTTTCTTCCTTGAATGGCATGATCTCGTTATAAAACTAGAGTAATTGTAAATTCTTGTATTTTATAGATGAATTAAGCATAGTCCATGAAACTTCTATTGCTTTTTAAAAAAGGTTGTAGGAGTTTCCAAGGAAAACTCTTAAATTAACTCAAAGCAGAACCTTCCCACTCTCCCCACTTTAGAAAAAATATGAGTTTTGACAACTGGAAAATCGGTTTTCTCTTGTTTTTTTTGTAATTGATAAGATAGAATAGGATTGTATGATAACATCGAACAAGAAAGCAAAAGTAACAAGACTTTCTGCGCATCTGTTTCCGGGGCTAAAAACCAGACCAGTATTGCGTCCTTCCTTGGCGTCCCGGGTTTGGAACCCTGTCATAAGTACTTCCCAAGGAAGGTAGCAAAAGGAATGAAAAAAAATAATCTCATGATAAAATGCCAGGGTGCTAAATATAAAGAAAAGAAGAAAGACGTACGACTGTCCTGGGTGAGTGTATTTTTATGATGACTTGATGTTTGAATATTTCATTTCCCGCCATTATGTTCTTGATTGGCCACGGCCCAATATGCCGCATTTCATGCATCAGGGGCGAATGCAGACCGGTACCTAACCCAAACTTACGTAAAATGAAAGTTTCATTACATAAACAGTGGTATATGGTCTTAGAAAGAATATTCTCATTTTTCCATATCTCAGTCGCTAGACTGAACTCTTTGAATGCGATCCAACACTCGTCATTCTTACATCTATTTCCATCTAGAATGTCTACTTTCAAATAAAAACTTTATTGCCTTGGCTTCATGTATAATGGCGGCAATTATCATTTTTGCTCAGTCATTTTTTATTCAGAAAATGTACATATATAATCAGTGTAACCCTTCCAGCCACATAATCATGCAAGTCGTGTATAGATAGGGAAAAAATTAGTGGTGAAGCTATCAATCCTTTGCTTTTACGTGCAACTAATTTGTTCTTCACAATAAAATCTACAGAATCAGCAATGATGAATAATATTGATTGAACAAAAAAAATTTCGAAAATTGTTGGCTTTGTTTTTCATAATCCTCTAAATCCTGGCTATGATCATTGCAACCAAATTTTGAGCGAATGGCATCCTAATCTTAGCATTTTCATAGTTTGAAGTTAATATTTTTGTATTAATAATCTACAAATGTTTTATGATCAACCAATCTATAACGCACTTAACTATCTATTTACTACATTATAATAATACCAAGAAGAAAAAACTTCCAATTTGCAATGTGTAAATAAGCACAAAGCTCCATTTTTCCTGTTCCTAGATGGAGTAAAAGTATTCACAAACCTTCTTCGGAACTTCTCATTAAGGAAGGAAGGTGTGTAGAGCTTATTGCTGAGATACTGAGAAGTAAGTTTGTTTGAAAGTAAAAAGTATGTTTACGAATTGTTCAAATAGCAAGGTTGTCATAGATCCAAACTTATTTATTTATCCAATCATTTAAACAATCCTAAAAACTTTTAATTTCATCATTTTTGTTCTATAACTCTCACATTTACCTGCTCTTTGAACGTTTTCTCTTATGCAAACATAATTCTTCTTATTCTTATTCTTTATTTCAGCCATATATCACTTAATTCCATTCTCTTTCTTTCCCATCTTCGAGCCATTTAGTATTCGCTCATTTATCATTCCTGCCGTAACACTTCCTCTTTTCCTGCTCATTTTTCATCCTCGCTTTTTTTTCCAGCAATCATTCACTTGGATCAGCCTTTGTCCTTGGTTATGTTGCTTATCGTACTTTCAGTATTCATCGTTTTTCCACAAACATTTGCTTTGCATGTTGTTTTCTGGATCAACCAATTTAAGCAATAATCGTGTGAAATGAATCTCTGTTTTGTTAATTTTCGAAGTGAGTAATAAGCATTACGAATTCCAAGGAAATATTAAAATAGAGGCAAAAACAGAACTTTGGTGTGTTCTAATGTCTCGGTGGTATCCAGTTTATTATCTTCCTTTGCTTTTCCTAAGTAGCTAAACGTTCTTGAGGGTATAAAATTAAGAATCCTCAAAGATTCCATACCTAGCTCAATAAAACTGAGCAAAATCATGACTAACATGACGTACAACAATACTAGGTGCCATTTCACATGCCATTTTGCCTCCATTTTTCAACATTTCATCTTCTCCTTCTTTGGTTTTTCAGTAAATGTTACGATTTGAGGCAATATTTCTTTTTCAACATCATTTACAAGCATATCGACCCGATGCTTAGAAATTTTTGTAAATAGTTCGGAAAGCTTTTCAAATTCTGGCACATGCGTAGTATCTGTGCTTATCAAAATTTGAATTTCTAATCAGTCTAAAAGTAAACAAAATTCACTAATTAAATGATAATTCCAAGATTTTATATTTTTTTTGCATAGAGTATGTCGACAGCAAAACCCATGATTTCCATCCAAGCCTGCAATATGTAAAGTTTGTGCAACTAAAAATCTAAGAAACGACTATCTATGTTTTTTGAAGCATTGGCTACCTATATTCGACGTTTCTTCAAATAATAGACATTTGTACCATGTCCCAGGTTTCTTACTGCTCCGATTTACTTATGACTATTATTTGATAAATGACTCATTTTCTTTTTCCTTGGAAGATGAGTCAATGCCAGTTGCGATTACCTTCCAGTGTTATCCTCCCGTCATTTCATATTTTGCCGGTTGTAGGTTAACTAGCTCCTCTCACTATCTTCGAAAAATTTCCCGTTGCAGATTGTAGGCCGCAAGTCGCGCAATGGCGTCCGTCGCAGCGTGGCTGCCGTTCGCACGCGCGGCCGCCATCGGATGGGTGCCTATAGCACGGCAACCAATGCCAGAAGCACCGATAGCATTACAGGTATTGATTTTATCGATTTTTTGTTGGGGTATATTCTTCCAAATTTCCTTGCCGCTGAATGTCTATGCAGAGCCATGTTTGTACGTCTGCGTCTCCTGTCTTAGCTTATCTCTCATCATCCTTCTCTCTAACTCCGCGATCTTACGCATTTGAGTTATTTCAAATAATTTTCTCATTTTTTTTTCAAAAAATCATCAACTTATAGATTATTGAGCTGACTACACTTACAGTTCAATTTGAAAGTTGGAACACCAATAATGATGTAATCAAAGCACTTGTGGGAGGTTGGGGAGGTGCCAGGCCAAAAAAGGGGCGTGGCATGGACGATTAACTAAAATTGTATTACTATGAGCAAATATTTCGTAAAACAACAAATTTCTAGAATCTCTAATTCAAAACCTCTCGACATTCTCTGACGGACACTTTGATTTTATGACTATCAAAGATTAGTGGGAGGTATCAAGGCAAAAAGAGGCGTGACCATGGAAAGAACAAAACTATGTTCCTGGAATTAGGTAGTCCATAAATCTAAATTATGATGATCTCTAATCTGGTTCAAACCAATAACTCTTACAACTTTGATGACAGAACCGAGAGGCTGGTGGGAAGAATCAAGTCAAAAATGGGCGTGGTCATTGGAGACCCAAGATATTTCAAGTTAAAGAGCTTGAATATCTATAAAACAACAAACTGTAACTTTCAACACTTGGCACATCTCATCAATTTCCTGACGTTTTACTATAAAATTGGTCAGTATGAGGTATTAAGTCAAAAGGGGCGGAGCTTTGAAGGGTGGGCAAATATATAGTTCTGGGTTTGGATCATTAAAACAATAAATTATGATTATTACGACTTTGTGTTTCCCAAAAATATCTCGATGCATGTTTTCATTTAAACAGAACGATTAGTCAGAATCTAGTGGGAGGTATCATGTCAAAAATGGGCGGGGTGATGTGTACCAGAAGTGCAGGATTGTATTGCTGTCAAGACTTTTTATTTATGAAGTAACAGATTGAGACGACGTTTATTTTAAAGCTATGGAAATGATTTTTCCCTAGTTTTTTTTTCGATTTCGCCCCCCCCCCATTCTCCCATTTGCCACCTCTTTCCTCTCCTACTGTACTTACGTTTCTTCTTACTCATTCTGGATATTGAACTTTTTTTTACTCGATTTCAAAGATCTTTTCTGAAGTCAAATTTTTCCAGGGATCTCCCAAATGGTTGCAAAATTTGGATTTTTGCCGAAACAGCCCAAAAATTCTTTCTGAAACCCGGCCAAAACTCGCTGTTGATAGCGGAAAGCATTGATAATAGGATAGCTGGAAGGGCGCGTGACATCAACATTTGACATGTACATCAGTGATGAGCGATGGCATCGCTTTGAGTTCCATGTGTGGGGCGATGCCGTCACTCACAGCATCCCCGCGCCCCGTCTCGTCCCCCGTCGTCGAATTCCCCTTCAACCCGTTCTAAACAAGGCGCTCTAGGCATTGATGCACGCAAACACATGCCACAGCTGATCCAGATTTTATTTTTGGAAAGACGCGAAATTGGTGGGGAGTCCACATTTGCTGTTTAGGGTGGGGCGGGAGGGGGGGGGGGGTAAATCAGAAAGACGCGACGGACTGAATCCTGAAAGTTCCCAGATTAGAAAGCATTTGTCACGCTAATACGAAATTTGCTCTCAAAGAAATTTCTCAGGGTATTATGGCCGAGAAAATTTCTTTGCAAAAGTGCACATAGAGGAGTTTTTATGGTCCAAGGCTGGATTATTTGGGCAATTTCTCAGCAAAGGACTGAAGTGAAAGACAATCGTGCATATTAGGGGGTCTGTTGCAACTATCCCATATTGAATTTTTTGAAAAAAGAGGGGTCCTGAGAAGTCTCGAAAATTTTACTATGTTAGAGAATAAATTGAAAGCTTTGCAGAAGTAAGAATAGAGGTTCGAGATGTTCAATTTTGACTTTTCGATTTTGTTCAAATCTTTCAAAATATGCAGATTGCTAATAGATTGCAGGGTTACTGGACGCGGATAATTTAATATACTAATTATTTGCAATTCAGCTTTTCAATTTTTTCGGACTTCAAAACAATTTTTAATCATTTTTATAACTAAGCGACATTTTTTTTTGCCATCTGGATAATCGATGTTATTCGAGCACGTGGTCTGTCACCTGCTGATATGTGACTGATGAGGATCAAGATAGCAAAAATCAAGGAGAAAAAAAATTTCCCAGAAAACTTGTCATATGCTTCGTAACCTTTAAACCTGAAAAGATTCGAAAAAATGAATTTTAAGAGCACTCTAGACGTGTCATAAAGAGATCTCACAGTTTTCTAGGGGGACAACTAGAATTTTGCAAAATTTCAATAATTATTTGAGTTATCATCTTAAACAGACAGTTCACAAGATGTAATACCGCCTCCATGAGTTTTGCTATAGTCTCTGGGGGAGGGGGGGGGGGGGGGGGTGTTTACGCGGCAATTAGGTTAAAATAAAAGCAATAAAAGTTTTTTCACTCTTTTCTAATAAATGGCGTGATTTCCAAGCAGTTCTAGTACTTTTTTGGAGGATATAGAAAAAGGCAAATTCTTCAAAACTTTCGGAAAACGATTTGCCGTGGGATTCCAAAACTTTTTTTGATACTTGAAGTTTCCAACATAGGTTTTTTTCGGTTCAAGACGTCTAGCTCTTTTTTGCTGCAGACCGACTCACGACATCCTTCCCCATGTCCATGGAAATGCGCTTGCAACATTGTTAAATATTAATCAGTTGAATGCATAAATTTTCTGATTATCGCTCGAGCCTCATTATTCAAAACAATAAAAAGCTGCAAGTGTAATAGATCACTAAAAGCTTGCAAACTCTTCGAGAACAATCCTTCTGGCAAACTATTATCTAATTACATACTTCTTGTACATGAGAAATGCTGAATACAAAATATTGATTAATGCAAAAGCTTCTGAAAAATCGAAGGATTGGCATTTCAGCAAAGCAAAAAGTGGTATGAAACAAAAAGAATTGTAGTTATGCATCCATTCGATACATTGAAGCATAAAAAATGTCCATAGTCTGCATTAAGAGTTTGAGCATAAATTTGAATTTTTGCGTTTTGACTTCTACTCATAAAAATCAATTTTCACATAATTATCATTTTGTAGGGCTATGGACTTTTCTTGCTTTTCCCTTTCTAAAGTCATAAACGCCTTGTTCTTGTTTCAGTATGAAAAATGGTTTTCAGTTTCTTTTGAAAGTAAAAACCAACCCTGTAAGTGACTGCGGCGCTCTTATTTTTATACGTTTCGGCTTTTTATGCCAGCTTAACTTTTAAAAAGGATCTCAAAGAATTTTTGAAAAAGAAGCTGACGCCATAATTTTTAACTCAGGAAAAAATTCCTGCCGTTCCCCATCTCTACTGATTTGTAGAGAGGACTGTGCCATAATTCTTTTTCCAAAAAAAAATTCTGCAAAAAATTCCATTTCCTTCCCCACCCCTAAAAACTTTTTCTAATCTCCACTGCTGCCAATCCATTTCTTGTCCAACTGTACAAACCCCCAGAAATCCAATTGGGAGCCCTGTCCTGAAGGGTGGGGGAGCTTGACCTCATAGCACCTTTGCCGGTTCCAGGTCCGTTTTTTCCATTCTTAGGCCACATTAGAGAACCGCACCAACGCAGATGTGCTCTCAGGGCCTTCTTGTAGAAAATATACTAATCAGGAGAGCCTAAATTTTGCCTGGACATTGCCTTCAAAAACGTCATCGCATTAGTGTCGTCACTTCGATATGCATGCGATTGAGGCACTTGAAAGTGTTGCTTTATGATGGAAAGTGACAAGATGCTTTATGGGAAGTAAGAAGTGAGGGTGCATGCCATTGTCGTTTAGAGGTTCCATATAAGTCTAGACTTAGAAAAAACAAATATGACATTTTCATTTTTTGAAAATTCTTTTAGCGCAGAATTAAGATATGGTCACACTTAAGCGGTTAAACTTAAGTTGTGACACTGAAATAGGAATATTCCTGAATTTGCGAGGTTTGCGATATTGGCGGAGCCTGCGTTATGGCTAGTTTGGCCGTATTTTTTCGTAAGACAACTGTATTTGAAAATTGCAAATAAATTTGAACTCAGCTTGATGAGGAGTATCTGTAAGTGTACAAAAGGACCGTAACCCATGTGGATACTGTAGGTATACGATGGAACATAATTGATGAATTTAAGGAAGTGTTCGCGAGCACGTATGTTAGTGCATATTGCAAACAATGAGACCGATAGTTTTTTTAGATTTTATATAATTATTGTATGAAACGAGTATTGATTTTTCTCTTTGACACTGTACAGTTACGGTAGGAGCTTCCTGCGCCTATTCGCCATAATGAAATAAGTGTCAATTTAGTCTTTTTTTCGTGAAAATGAAAACCTTCTCTGTAGATTTGACGTTCTTTATTATGTAATAAAGTCTGTACGTTTTTCGTGAGCATTTGCGCAATCTGTAAGAGTATAAACGCAGTATAAACAATTTTTTGTAAAATATCAGAAAGTAGCTGTTACAGTACGCCTACAGTAACTTGCAAACGAGGGATCGCGGAAAAGCTAAATTTCACTGTTCGAATAAACTGCTCTGATTTACTTTGCAACCAATCTTCCAATTTTTTTTAATCCTGCCGAGGCAGAAGACCTTTTACAACTTTTACAAAGTTTATATCGTAATCATACAGTAACGAAAAGCGGTCAAATGCATATTTACTTTTCTAACAACCTACTTTTTGTTTTATGATATCAGACACCATGTCTATTCCAGAAAAGTGGCGCTAGCAATATTTTTTGGAAGGGGGAAGGAGGTGGGGGGGGGGGGGAGAAATTTGAGAAATCGGTCAAGAGCGTAGCGTCATCCAAATTCTACAATAAAATTGTTTCGCTCTTTATGTTTTCAATAAGTTTTTAACCCAAAAATTTCGAAAAGGGGTGCAAAGGGTCTCACAACAAGTTGAGATATGAA